AATGAAACTGAAACTAAAGAAGCACTGAACAACGGGGCAGACAACATCACACACGTTTAATACAGACCTTCTTCGGGATACCGTAAAACTCAACGAATTCAGGATAGCCCTCACCAATAGGTTCCAGGCTTTGCAAAGCATACTCAGTGGAGAAGAAACAACCTTGAAGAACAGTTGGAAAGGGATCAGGGAGGCATTCACTTCAACATGTCACGAGGTTCTGGGCCAAAGGAAGTACCATCTCAAGGAATGGATCTCTGTTGATACTCTTGCAAAACTTGAAGAAAGGAGGAACAAGAAGGCAGCAATCAGTGTCAGCCGAACAAGAGCAGAGAAATTTATGGCACAAGCTGCATACACAGAAGCAAACAGGGAAGTGAAGAAGAGCATCACAACATACAAACGAAAATATGTGGAAGATCTAGCAATGACGGCGGAAAAGGCTGCAAGAGAAAGAAACTTGAGACAATCGTATGAAACAACAAAGAAGCCCGCTGGAAACTATCATAAACCAGAACGACCAGTGAAAAGCAAGGAAGGCAAAGTAATCAGCAACACTGAAGAACAGCGAAATAGGTTGGTAGAGCACTTTAAATCAAGGGCGGCAAAGCAACAGGACCAGACAACATTCCAGCAGAGGCAATGAAAGCAGACGTAGAAGCAACTGCGAAAATATTTCACATCCTCTTCAAGAATATTTGGGATGAGGAATAAGTACGATCAGATTGGAAAGAAGGACACCTCATCAAAATACCAGATAAAGGAGATCTCAGCAAGTGTGAGAACTACGTAGGCATCACTCTTCTTTCAATACCAGGCAAAGTCTTCAAAAGGGTATTGTTAAACAGAATGAACGACTTCGTAGACGCCCGAATCCGAGACCAACAGGCTGGATTTCGTAAGGATCGATCGTGTACTGACCAAATTGCAACATTACGGATCATTGTGGAAAAATCAGTTGAATGGAATTAACCACTCTACATCAACTTCATCGACTACGAGAAAGCATTCGATAGCGTGGATAGGAAAACACTGTGGAGGCTTCTTCAACACTACAGTGTGCCTGAGAAAATAGTTCACATCATACGGAATTCTTATGATGGATTCAACTGCAGTAAAACCTTGAGTATCGTGAATAACATCACTGCTCAATACAACTTATTATTAGAGATATTCCCTACTTAGTACTGTACAACAAAGTATTGATAACTGCACACTATTTTGTTTGTTCGCTTTGAAAACGTTTATTTTGAGTTCTGAAGGTTACTTTTAACTTCAGTGTGATGTCCTGTAAGCGTGTGTTGTTGTATGGTGGCCGTGGGTCTTTGGGATCTGTTTGCGTCAAACACTTTAAGAATAAAGGCTATGTAGGTTTTTTGGTTTCGTGACCTTTAGTGGGTTTGCTCTGTTGATTTCCAAGAGAATTCTGATGCTGATGAAAATATTGTTGTTGGAGTTTCAGAAAATAGTTCTACACAAGAAAAAGCCGTGAAGACGAATCTAGAGACATTACTCAACGGTCAGAAAGTTGATGGGATATTTTGTGTTGCAGGTGGATGGGTTGGTGGAAATGCTGCTACACATGGTATATAGAAAGTAATTTAACTCGAAAATTTTCAGATTTTCTGGAAAACTGTGACACTATGTGGAAAAAATGTGTTTGGTCCTCGTCTATTGCTGCCTCGTTGGCCTCAAAGTTTCTATTAGCCAGTGGTTTGTTAGTTCTTACTGGTGCACATGCTGCTTTACAGGCTACTCCATGTACTTACACCTGTGGTTTGTCGTTTATTTTTTACGTTTATATCGGAGTTGATAGTTCTAATCTTAATGCTACGAAATTAATGGGTATAATATTAATAGTTATACCTTTTATCACTAAATCTAATTCCAGATAATCTAGAATAATTTAGACATTTTGATTGTAATTGGGGTTTAATTTGGTTGCTAATCGTTCGTCAAGTATTAGTTGCATATTTTACAGCGTGTAAAAAAATTTGCAAAAGGTAGGTCTTGTTTCACTTACCGTGTAGCTGCTGCGGTTTCCATTGCTTCCTCCTCTGAGTTTCTTAAACAGGATATTTTATAACGGTTATTTAACCTTGTGTAATTAGATGTGCATTACCGAGTGTGGAAGTCATCTTTCATAGCTCTATGATGTAATGTAAAGGTTTCCACTTGGTGCTTTGTAACAGCATCGAAAATACGAAATACAATTTTGACTTCCTCGTTTTCTTTTATTTCATTAACAGTTGCATGTTATTGTAGAACACTTTTAATCCTTTACAATAGGGTTCCTATCAGAGATATATTTGTAATATTCTGTCACAATTGAGTGGTTTTCCACCATATTATTTGTGTTATGAGCTGAATTTCTCAGCTGTATTACACTTTAACATGCAAACTTTTATCTAAATACTAGAGTACATATTATGTTCTGTCTACTGACTTTCTGGGTGTTTGCGAGCACTGTTTTTGTGTTCATAAATTACTGTAACTGCCTCTAAACGCCTAAACAAATCATTTGTATAAACGAACCTAGATCGGATTATCTTATGACGTGTGATCACAAATTTCAAATCAACGGAAATTTAGAATTTAAGTAAAGGGACCATCGTTTTACGGTTCCCATTAACACAAGCTAATCTTACAATCCCATAAAACGTCATTCATAATCAAATACATATCATAAACGTCCACGGAAACCAAGTGTTAGTGCAAATTCCCATCATGCTCTAAGGACAATTCTCTGTTATTACCGTTTTGGTTTATTAGCTATACGTCATCACAGATAAGATATGTTTTAAAGCAGCATAGACAAAATGGACCTAGTTTTCCAATAACAACGCTGACGTATTATTTATTTTTAATATTAAGTTATGTCCATCACTTGAATACTAAGTTTCAGTACTTGCTATCGGTTTATACTTGATATGTTTTTGGTTTTTTGCAGCTATGTTAGGGTATGGCATGGCTAAGGCTGCAGTACATCAGCTCACGAAGAGTTTGGCGGGTCAAAACAGTGGGCTTCCGTATGGTTCTTGCGTGCTTGCCATTTCACCGTAAGTTATTGTCGCTTTTATATGATAAAATATATAAAAAGATAGTTCGCCGAGTGAGACAAAGATTGTTTTAGTGGTTGGTTAATCCATGTGTATTTCTGGCATGCTTCGCTCGTGGGGTCTACTAAGTTTCGTTTGCTCATTGTCATTTATTTATGACTACTCGGTATCATGGGTGTTATCCTAAGAAGCATGGTTTAAATATACTTTAATATACCTTCTTTTTCATTTACAGCACTTTGAAAACAGCCGTACTGCAAATTTAAAAGCGTAATCGATGGGTTTATATTCTGGTTTTTGATAATGCTTTGTACTTATTCCCACAAAATTTTGTTTTCTATGGTTTAGAAACTAAGAGTTTAATATATCTTCTTACCAATGAAGTCATCCATTAGTTATTGAAAGTAGACATTTCTAACATGCTATTCTACCATCAAAACTCAGTCACCAACAACTTCGTACGTCGATACATCACTTCAAGTTGCCGCACCACATTAGCACAGAGATACAATTGTCACTTCTAATCCCATAATAGTAAAGGTAGTAGAAGTATTAGCCGTAATAGGAAATTTTGGGGTTCGACGATATTATTAAAGAGGTAGAACCTAGTAAAAGAAACTTAAAAAGATAAAGGAGATGAATGTTATAAATCTCTCTCAGTCAGTCAGTCAGTCAGATGCAACGTAGAACTTCGTACGTAAGTACATCAGTTCATGTTGCCATGCCACATCAGCACAGAGATGTAATTGTCAATTCAAATCCAATAGTAGAAGAGGTAGTAAAGGTATTAGAAGTAATCGGAGAGGTTAGGATTAGAAGATATTATTCAAGAAGTATTATTTAATGAGAAAAGTTTAGAAAGTCAAAACTAGAGGTGTTGAAGAATCCAGAAGATTAGAATTTGAGAGAACACAAAGAGTAAATGCACCGGCGCCATTGCGAACGATTTTGAGCCATGTTATTCAAGGTCTCTAACCATCGATTATTATCATCTCGCGGACCCCAACCAGGTAGTTGACAGTTACCGACATGGCTCAGTCCACTAGTCAATGACTTCATGGATTTCTGCCATGTTTTGGTTTGACCGCCCCTAACTTTCTTCCAACCTACTCCTACACTAAAAAACAGCTCGAAGAGGCAGTCGGTGGTTCGGCATACGCAACACATGTCCCAACCACCTCAACTGATGAAGTGTCACTACTGCGTCTATTGATCTGCCATTCTTACCTAGCACCCGATTCCTAATAACAGCGTTGCTCACTCGGGTGTCCCACGATATATGAGCAATGCTTCGAAGACATCTATGATCGAAAACCAGTAACCTACGAATATCTTCTACTCTAACTGGCCATGTTTCACAGCCATATAGGAGAACGGAGCGAACTGCTGCACAGTACACTCGTCCTTTAGTCAGCAAACGGATATCACGCCTACGCCATAAGTGACGCAGGTTGGCAAAAGCCAATCGAGCCTTCTGTATCCGAGCTGAGATTTCGTCAGTCACCAGGCCATCGGCACTGATGAGACTCCCCAGATAAGTGAAGCGGTCTACACGCTCGACTACTTCACTCCCTATCACTAGTTCAGGTGCCGATGCAACCAAGTCCTAAAGCAACATTTTGCATTTCGAGGGGGAAAACCGCATCCCGAACATGCTTGCATTGTTGCTTAGGGTAGTCAGAAGACTCTGCATTTTGTCAGCGTCTTCACCAAGTAGGACAATGTCATTGGCATATTCTAAGTCAATAAGCGATCCACCTGGTAAAAGGTCTACTCCTGAAAATTCAGACGAGGACAATGTTATGTCTAGGAGCATGTCTATGATAAAATTAAACAAGAATGGAGAGAGTGGACATCCTTGACGGACACCACTTGATGTAGAGAATTCCGGTGACAGTTCGCCATAAGCCCTCACTCGACCAGTGGTGTTCGAGTAGAGAGCTTGTATAAGGTTAATGTACTTCTTTGGTACACCTTTCAATGACAGACACTGCCACAGAACCTCACGATCCACTGAGTCAAATGCCGCCTTTAGGTCCAGGAAAACAACTATTGTAGGACGCTTAAATGTGTGTCTGTGTTCCAGGACCTGTCGTAGTGTGAAGATGTGGTCTATACAACCACGTCCAGGTCGAAAACCAGACTGGTTTTCTCTAATCTGCTCTTCACGAGCTCTAGTTAGACGTCTAAGTATAATCGAGGCTAACAATTTAGAAACTATATTAGTTAGACTTATTCCCCTGTGATTGTCACAAGAAGACTTCTGTCCTTTCTTATAGATTGGGACAATCAGTGATTGAGACCAGTCGGATGGGATCACGTCCAGTTCCCAGATTCTACCTAAGATCTCAGTCAGCCTAGTTGATAAAACCTGACCACCATCCTTAGATATCTCAGGGGTCAGTCTATCAGGACCTGCAGCTCGACCTCGCTTCAGATTTCCTAACGCTTTTTCAACTTCATTAAGACTAGGAGGACTTACATCGATTTGCCTTTCAGGATGACTGGAGATCGTGGGTAACCGAAGAGTGGCTCGAGGCCAGTTGAGCTGATCCTTAAAGTGTTCTGCCCATCGATCCAGCCTCCTGCATTGAGAATGGATAATAAGACCATCCTTTTCCGAGATAGTCTCACTTACACTATGATTCCTAATACCAGTTTCCTTGATAAGTCGGAAAAATTGTCTACTGTTGCCTATCGCCGCTGCCTTTTCCATCGCTTTTGCTTTCGCCACCCACCACAGTTCACGGTCGTTACGTAGGCTTTTTATAAGTCTGCGCCTAAGTTGACTTCGTTCTTCATCATGTTCAGAGCCAGGTGGGATGAGTTTTCGGGCATCCATCAGATCGGTGGATGCTACTGAGATCCACGATTTCATTCTAGCCTTATGGTCAACCTTACTAGCAGATATCACTGCTGTTTCCACAGCCTTTTTGATATCATACCAACCTGCTTCTGGATGGGAATCGCTTGCATGGTTGCTTAACTCTCTTTCTAGTTGTTCCTGAAATATATTGTTCGCCTTATTATCATTATGTAAAACCCTAAGAGGCTTTCTTACGGTGTCTTTCCTACGTCCAGTAAGCCACAGACAAATACGCGCTCGCACTAGGGCGTGATCTGAACCCAAACATGTGCCCCAGTCTTATATCTAACCCCTCCATCGGTGGCTGATGGCGATGTGATCTAGTTGAGTCCAACGTTGAGACGACTTCGGGGGTCGCCAGGTCAACAAATGCTTTTCCTTATGCCTAAAGTTGGTGTTCGCTAAGAATAGGCGGTTATCTGAGCATAGTTGCAACAGACGGTCACCATTGTCTGTTCTCTCAGTCGCTACACCATAACATCCACCAAGATGTCTTTCCTTTTCACCTAGTCTACCTACTTGAGCATTAAAGTCACCAGCCATTATTACTATATCAGAGCGCCTAGCTTTTTGGAGGAGGTCCGAAAGCTTTCTGTAAAACTCATCCTTAACCTCGGCTGAACTGCAGTCAGTGGGGGCATAGGCAGATATGATGAAGAGGCAACGGCGACTGTCCCTATCCTTCCGAGTCCGTACTGTCCCGTTTAGTCGGACAGCGCACAAACGACTATCTACTGGGATCCAGTCAAGGAGAGATAATTCTGTCCTAGGACTCAACGCTATGCCTACGCCAGCAAGACCCCGGGAAGCAGCATCAGGGCTACCGGATACACGAAGAGTAAATCGGGCTGCTTCTTCGTTTTGACAAGGTGGAATCAGGTTAATGACTTTACTAGGATCCTGTATGCGCGTTTCCGAGACGCAGCATACATCGATGGCACGAGTGAGAAAAGGGAGTATGAGTAGAGTTAGTCGTAGCGATAAGAGAGACATTAGGGGGTGTAGGAAGGATTTGATTTTAACAAGTTTGGTCTCGCGTGCTGTTACGGGTATGAGGGCGATTGTCACTTCCCGGCTGCCCACACCGTGGAAGGTTGTTTCTTGAGGGACCTGAAAAGGAAGATGGATTAGTGTTGGTGCGTGACCGCAGAGCCCAAGGGAAAACTGCTTGAGGCCAGTCACGCACGGCCTTTTTATGAGAGGTATTTAGAGGATTAGCTCCGTTCTTAAAGGCCCTTAGTGGGCACCCTTACCCAGGGAGACGTAAATCCGTGAGTTAGGGGAGGTGTGACATTTTTAGGGTCGACCTTTTCTAACCCTTCCTTCCTTGTGAGAAGGCAGCATCGCTGCAGATGCTGGTTGTCCGAGGGGAACACCTTACTGCTGTCACACCCCTCTGCAGTCAGCAGTACGACTTCGCCCTCAGACCTTGGGTAGCTGCTTTTAGTCTCATCGTTCTCCAATCGACCAGCCTGGCATGGCAGGACTTGCAGGAACATATGTTCCAGCCAGTATAGCTCGGTTGGGTCATCACAACAAGCAAGCCCTACCACTACGTGAAGGTAGCAGCTACGGTCGGGGTATTCATTCTTTGTGTTCTCGCAAATCCTAACCTTCGGTGTTCCTCATTGTTAGTGGGCCATGGATGGATTAAAGCATGACTGCGTAAGCTGCGCGCTGATTGGCTAATTTCCTATCAAATCAGCGTTTAAGAACGGAGCAGACATCTTGGTGGATGTTATGGTGTAGCGACTGAGAGAACAGACAATGGTGACCGTCTGTTGCAACTATGCTCAGATATCCGCCTATTCTTAGCGAACACCAACTTTAGGCATAAGGAAAAGCATCTGTTGACCTGGCGACCCCCGAAGTCGTCTCAACGTTGGACTCAACTAGATCACATCGCCATCAGCCACCGATGGAGGGGTTAGATATAAGACTGGGGCACATGTTTGGGTTCAGATCACGCCCTAGTGCGAGCGCGTATTTGTCTGTGGCTTACTGGACGTAGGAAAGACACCGTAAGAAAGCCTCTTAGGGTTTTACATAATGATAATAAGGCGAACAATATATTTCAGGAACAACTAGAAAGAGAGTTAAGCAACCATGCAAGCGATTCCCATCCAGAAGCAGGTTGGTATGAT